TGCCACCAAATGCCATTCTCCATATAGATGACATTGCCCTCTTTTACCTCAACCCTGAGCAATTCGAAACAGAGATTGAAGTGCCAGCGTTTTTCAGCAAGCATACGCTGCAGTTAGATCCAAACACTATTTCTCAAATCCAGTATGCAGGTACTCAGATCATTGACCTAACGCCTGTAGATGACGTCCTTATAGACATAAGGTCCCAAGAGAAGTCCCCGCTGCAACCAATAGTCTATGTTTGGTCCACCCCAGACACCTTACTAGCAGCCGCCATAGTGTTAGGGTACCTCCTGACCTTCGGGTTAACCTTCATCTACGTCAAACGTGGTAAAGCCCTACAGTACAAAATAGACCACTGTGTAACTAGGTTACGACTCCGTAGACAACCTGAAACGGAACAGGAAGTTGAACAGCCAGAGGAAGACAAGGTGAGCCACATGCTCGAGGTGTAGTCAGCTTCCTGTAACCCCGCACCCATAGATGTAGTAGGCTTAACACACACAATAGATCTAACGAAGTAGATAGTTCTGAACGAGACGCATCACCCTCCTTGGACTAACTGCTGCTTCCACCTGGTCGTCTCATCTCGTCGTCCCAATGGCTCCTGGAGCTGCCATCGAGACGAAGGGGGGATATGTAATGAGACAACTGCTTTCTGCTATCCACCTTGAATTCACCCCTCAAAGGAATGCAGGCTCCTCTGGTTTGGACAGGAAATGGGGGAGTAACGGTTTGCACACCAAGTTCCCATTTACGACCCAGGCAACCATTTGGGAGGTGATAGTGAATCTTTAACGCTTCCCAAAAAAAAAAAAAAAAGGACAAGTTGCTTATCAGCCACACAGACCCATAAACACGGAGTCTCTCACCCTGGTTGGGAAAGATCAGAATTGACACTTCAGGATTAACCCAATGACCTAGGGGGGAAAACAGGCCAGTTGGCGCCAAATCTGAAAAACCAGATGCCTGCCATAAATTCCTTGGCTTTCTTTACAGAGCAGAAGGAAGAAGATGACTGAAAATGGTTTAACTTCATGTTTAATGGACACTTCACCAGGATTTTCTGTCTGTACACCACATTCTTAATGAAATGGTCTTTTTTCCAATTCTGTAACATATCCACAAGCCAAACTGTTAACTTCACAAATTTATTCCAGGTTTTCCATGGACCAAGAGCTCCTCCTAGTGGTGATGCCTGAATATGGTTTGATCAGAGCCAAATGGCAGGAATCTAATCACGTGTATTTCTTTCCTTTTGTTATACACTTCGTAGCTTAGTAAATGGTATTCCCAAGATAGGCTAGTAGTTTAGAAGTAGTAACGTGAAACTCGTTTAGACTCAAGTTAAGAGTTTCGGAATGTATCCATACTATGTTTTATCTACCTCACACAAAAATATATATTAATCATCTGGGAAGCTTGATTGACAAGGTTATAATGTTGTCAAATATTATTACGTATGTGTTTCTTATGCTGGATGGTGTTTCTGTTCGAATAGATAATTTGTTTTCTGTCCCTCTCTAACTTTTAAAAGTCATTAATCCTCTGTTAGTGTCAAGAAGACGGCTGATCAAAGTTTACTGTTTGCAATGTCATGCTTTAATGCGTCTGCTCATAAGAAACAATGAAGTGAAATGTGATCGTATGTGATGTTATAAACAGTTTAATCATAGTGAGTGAGTAAATTAGATCTAGCTCGCTTTTAATATCAAGTTGAGTTAAATTCGCTGCCAGTCGATGTGCTGCATCGGGTTACAGCATTGGCTGTAACTTTCCTCTTGGCTCACGCCCACACGGGATGGTTTAAAAGAGCCCGGGAGTCTTTGCTCGGTCTTCAGTTTTTCTTCTCTTCAGTTTTGTCTTCTCTTCAGTTTTTGTCTCTTCCGTTTTTGTCTTCGTCTAGTTTTCTTTTGTCTTCGCCTATCGTTCGCAATTTTTACCCGCGTTTTATTAAGTGCCTTAAGCTCAGATTTTTATTCTAAACTTGGATGAAAGCATTCCCAAGTCCTTTAGAGCCTCAGTAACAAGCTGCGCGCATAAGAGAACCTCAGTCTAAGTCTTTTTAATTTTGTTCGCTAAAGTGACTCCTGAAGATAATATCGGCTGGCCAGCGAAATTATTTTCTTAAGTTATTGGCGCGAATTAATCTGCAACCAAGCAAGTCCTGAACGCCGACCAGCATCATCTGCCAAGCTGCTTTGCCACCTGGTTCCGAGAGGCCCAGAGATCCGAAGTATCTAACGGCGCTGACACGGTCCTGAAGCTGAGATCCAGACACGGCGGAAGAATTCCCCGCCGAACCTTCAGTATCCGGTCCGGTAGCCACAGAACTTCAGCTGATCCATTCCAAGGGTGCCGCTGAGAACCGACGTCCAAAGTAGGCTAAATCCTCTAAACTGCTGTGATGAGAACTGGGTGATGCCGTCAACCGTTCAGTAGCTTACTCTTATAAATTATAGTTTAGTTCTCCAAATTCCTTTTATTTACCCTCGTAACTCCGTTAACGTAGGTTAAACTTCCCCTTTATTCACTCACTATTATTAACCTCCAGTCTTAGGTTTAATTTAAACCATTCCTTCGTTTATTCATTAGATGTGCTTTGATTTGCTCATTATTTGATCATCATTTATTGACGTTTTGTTATCATATAGCTTGTTAATAAATTGTCCATTTAATTCTAAGTTGTCGTCTTAGTGGTCTTTCAGAAGGTAGTCCCTGAATGAAGAATTCCGGCCTCAGATGAGAGACTGATTTAAATCTGTGTAAGACTGATCCAACGTTTAATTACTCAATTGAACTTTGTTTCGTCCTTTTTCCCACCAGAAAGGTGGGTGGTGCCCCTTCAACGAGTGCATAAATGTCATAATTTAATTTGATTAATTTTCGACATTTATTTTGAATTTAAAATCGCTACAACTTCCAATCCTCAGCTGCATAAACACGATTCTGCTTGTATTTGTTAAGTGAATCCTCCCATGCAGCCGAGCCAGGGTACAGTATATCCTCCTCCATACCACAGCTGGATAATCAATAGCCGCAGGGGATGCCTTTTACAGTATGCACACTTTCACACACCCGTCTTTCTTTAAAACAGCCATATTAGCATCGATTCTGCATGTTTGCAGGTCATATTTATCAGGAAAGCTGGCACCAGACCCACTTTCTCTGCCTCATGTGAAGAACCTATTTCCAGCAAGACCCATTTAAGAGAGACACGGGCCCCCAGAGGATATGATAACACTTCTGCTGACACTGTGATACCATGCGACTCCTGCCTCTGTTATTGCTCTGTCTTGGCACCACACGGTATTCACACAGCTCATATGCAGCGTAAAAACAGTGCAGAAGAAAACGGATATTCTAAGATGCATGTGAAATTCTCGGATGTCATAGTGATCACTAACTGGAAGCCACGTGGACAATGGGCGGTATAGATCATGCTATCAAAATGTGATCACCTGATTTGTAGATATTGATTTGCAGATACTGTGTAAGTTTTATGTGTGTATCAGTCAGTAAGGATTTGAGGTGACATACTTTTTGACCCCAAAGTGTTGCCATATCTGTTAATTGACCGTGAGGCCAAAAGTTATAGAGCTGCAGTGAAGGTCATAACCCTGCTCTCCATGTTAACAGATGGAAAGTGGAACCACTACAAAAAAAAAAAAAAGTCAAATAACTGCACTTTGTTTCCCTTCTTATGCAGATTCGTATGCAAGCGTCATTATTTTTTATCTGGGTTCTTTAAAAAGATATATATAAATATTAAAAATAATAACAGTCTTTATCAGTAAACAAGTCCTAGTCCTCCTCTCCATCATCCGAATACAATACAGTCAATATGTGCTAATAGTCCAAAAATATATCACTTATGTTGCATGTGAGTCTGGGTCCTGGACTTGATTACTCACCTTAAACAGTGAGAAAACTGCAACAGATTTACTCAGAGGGAAAATTGTCATTACAGTCTTGCAGTTGATGTGAATTTGATTTCAGTTTTCCAAAATTTAAAGAAAAGGAAAAAAAAAGTACAATTTTTCACATTGCATTTGTGGATATCTGAAAATGAAGCTGTCATGTTCAGATTACCCGTTGATTATCATTAGTTTTCTAAGGATGTCAACAATTAACCGAGAATCAATTTATTTACTTATTTATTTATTTCATGGGACAATGCACGCTAACGAACATGTGTATGTAAATATGCCAGATTGTAGCCTTAGGCAAATTTCCATCTGTGGTCCCCCAGCAGATTGATGGTAAATATATAAATATTCATGAAGCATGTATATAAGATAAAAATACATCAAAAATACACAGATTCATTCAACAGAGACAGACAACATTAATAACAACACTTTACAAATACCCACATAATCTAACACTGTAGTGCAGACAAACCAGAAATAAAGTGCCAGAGTGTTAAAGAGCCACTAGTGTATTACACGCGATGGGAGGGGTATTAGTGGAAATTGCACCTTTGCCCTGAGCCTGTTAATTTAAATTGCTTGTCTAATTGCACATTGCTTTATTGCACACAAATGTTCATGCATTTACTATTAACTATTGTACAGTGCAAAAAATACATATACAACTTGTGCATTTAATTCTACATGTAATTGATTGTGAAAAACCTTTTCTGTCACGCACAGATAAACAGGGCGTGGTTTTGTGTTGCATTCAGCTGACAGAGAGGTGTTCTTAGGTTCAAGCATGCTTTAATGCAAACCAACCGGTTAAAGGTGTTGAACTCAGTACAGTCACTCAGCCGTGGTCATTTGACAAGTCTCTTTTTGGGGTCAGCATTATGCAGCAGTCACCTCTACAGACTCATCATGGGATACAAAGCTGACTGACACCCAACCATGAGGAAATGTTATTTCATCAATAGTAGTATGCAGAAAATTAGACGCAGAGTCAGAAATATTTATTTTCTCAGTTCTCTTGCTGAAGCAACAAAAAAGCGGAATGGGGAAAAAAAAGTGGCAGTGTGTAGAGTTGGTGCCTGCATGTGGAAGATATCTAGCTTAAAGACCCACTCTAATAATTTTTTACTATTTACCATTTATTAGTGGTTTTTAGTCAAAAGCACGTCACATGTGTCATTTTTAAGGCTTTTCTTCTGCAGAGCTCCAGTAGCTCATCAACAATTCGCCTCTGAGTCGTGGGCGCAGACATTGGTGCTCAGTACCCTCCTCTTCATGCTAGCTTGTAGCCTAACATTGCCAGTGTAGTAGAAGTGGCAGGTAACATATATGCTATTCAGCTCTCAGACACTGATGTCTTTGGGGACATGATGAAAGTAAATATCATAATTGGCTTTCTTACAAGCATTGCAACAGCACACACTTCTTCCGCCATTGTCCTCTCTACTTCTCGGAGTCTGGCCTGCAGAATAGGGGCGGAGCTTGGGCTTGTGACGTAGAAAATCTGTGTCTGAACCTGCCATTTGGCTTTGCCAGAGGTTCACAGAGATCTGAATGCAATTTTGTTTTTATTTTTCTCATGATATGCCCCGTAGCATCAGAAAAATGCTATATGAACATGTAGACAACAAGAAAAACATGATTTTCATCGGAGCAAGTTTTCAATCAGCACAAACAACTCCATACTGAGTCATCAGTATCATGCCTTTTTAGGGTGTGATGTGCAAGAACAAAGGTGTAGTGACGGCAGGACTTTGCTCTAGTGCTTTTGCGGACTTGCAGTGTCTTATAGACTATAAAGGGAAAAAAAGCCTCCTGTTTGTTATTCAACACACTTCACAGAGTTCAGGGGTTTATTGAACCAGTGAAGTGCAGCCGAGTGCGGTTACTTTGACTCCTGCAGCTTAAGCAACAAAGTTGACTGCAAACTGTTTGATTAGCCAACAGGAGGCTGTTAACCGAGGCATGTATTCACCATCACGCCAGTATAAAATCAAAAAACTACACACATCTCAGCATGATGGAGATTATACAGTATAATTTTTTTTATAATTGTTGAATTTAACCCACTGTGAATTTGTCTACTGTTTTGTCCTGTAGTTTGGAAATTCCTTCAAACTTTTCTTATCTTTTCCTCTGCTTGGAAATGCTGAGCGTTGGAAGTTGACACCATACTGACAGCGCTGAGATAGATGAGGGGATGAACGCCATTTCTTCTTTCTTTTCTTTGGATGTTTTCTTGGTGCTGTAGACATATTGCCTTACTTGATTGCATTGTCACAATCCCCACAGGGAGCTATTAACTCTACCCAAAGAGTATGAGCTTCTCGGTCCTTCAGGGGTGGAGGAGGGGTTGGGTGCGGTGGTGGCACTTGGAAATGCTGAGGGAGGCAGAAACAATGAAGGGCTGAAAAACGAGGGAGAAAAATGAGGCTTTGGTTCCATGTGTGACCATTAATATTCATTTGTGTGTGCTGTATATCAGTAAAAATATACAGAGTATATGAGTTTTTGCTTTTGTTGAAACATGTATGTGGTGATCGCCTGAAACTTCTGGATATTTACACTTATTCCACTGGTTTAGCAAGTGCCCTAATGCTCAGAACAATCATCAGTCTGGCAATATGATGCTCAAATTGCTTTATATCATCTCTGTTCTGAGTGTAGATGTAACTTTAGATGTAGATATTATAAACTAGAGAGTAAAAAAAGTACAACAGCCACTTGCAGATGTGATATGGTTGTTTAGCTGCAGATAGGTAGAAGCAGAGTTGTATTGTGTCTATGTGCATGGGTGTCTGAAAAGCTCAGGGATGATATCACTCCATTTTTCAATAAAATATAATCCGAATTTCTGATGTTATAAAGATAAATGTTTGAAAAGGCTAAATGATCTGTTGGATTTGAAGCCTGTGGTAAAATTTAAGTTATGGAAGAGCCCATCATTTTTAATATCTTAACATAGTGTAAAATTCCTACTGGACTGCAGCTGAAAATCTTCCTTCTAGTTGTGTGTGTATGAAAATCGTAATTAAGTCATAGGCAGTTAGACTGACAGGTATGCTTTAGTCAAGATGAAAAATAAATAGTTTTTCTGCTTACTGAACCTCAATCTTTTAATTTTTCTTTTAGTATTTGAAGAAGGGGGAGATGTAAAGTGCTATGGAGTCTAATAATTGTGATCTTAACATTAAGAATACTATTATAACTTACACCATAATCAAGATGCCCTTCTTGTTGGTATACTATCTATGGATGTGAGAGGGTGTTGGACGTCAATAGTATTTTGGTCTGTAGTGGGCTTTGGTATGACTTTGGATGGACTGACAGGTTAGTGCGTACTTTGAAGTTAACTTTTAGTTAGACTGTTGTAAATAATACTTTATATAATAATATATAATATATTGTGAAATCAATTTTCCCATCAATCCAGATAATGTGCTGAGTTGTGCTAAGAATGATCCCATAACTGGAAGCAGCTGTAACACAAAAGCAAGAGCCAATGTGGAGCAGAGGGGGGATTCAGCCAAGCTGTGTGCACTTGCTCAGCAAGTTTGGTTTGTTCTGACAAGTGAAATTCGTGGGAATGTGATTGAATGGCAACAGAAATTTGCCCAAAATTCAGTTTGCGTTGTGTTTGAACACATCTTCACTAAGTGTCTGTGTTATGTCCGTTCTTAAAACTGATCATCTGTCGAGTGACAAAGAATTGAATAAAGTTTGTCCTGAAGCTGGAAGATGAGTTGCATGCAGCCAGCCTCGCAAAGAGGTACTGAGTGATAATCGCAGCCTCGGGTCACAGAAACACACACTTGCATTTTCTTATGGCAGCAATCTGATGCCTGAAGCTATCCTCCCTCACAGGGGTCTTTCTCGGGGCCACTATCCAGCTCTGGGCTCTCTGCTGGGCTGGGTTAAGATGTTATGGCTCCTATCTGGTACTGAGGCAGTGATGGTAGCGGTGGTGGCAATCATGGGGGCTGCAACAAACCAGGCTGAATACACACCTTGCATTTCACACACGCACTAACACATCAGGGTGTCTGGTCATGCAGAGCTAATGCGGTCCTGCAGGACGCTGTAATCAGTGTTAGGGCTACAGAGCATGTCAAAACATGCAGGAGTGAAATCTCAATCACGGGATGGGACCTGACGGAGCAGAGACGAGGAGAGAATGGGAGGGAGGTGGCGCCATGAAAGCTAAAAGAAAAAAAGGCAGCGGTGGAAGCAGAGCGTGAGATTCAAATGTTACAGATGGGTGAGGGGTCAGCCATGACTGAACAGAAGCAAACCTTCCTCGCTGCACTCCTGGGATGTTGCGGCAGCAGGAAAATCAAACAGGAAAGTCTTCTCTTTCCTGCAGGTAGAAAACAATAGTGGTATGGGATAACAATAAATATCTTTTCTTTACTGTCCCTGCCTGTCCCCTCTGGATCGGGTCAATAACAGCGTTTAGTATCAGTAACCCGGGTCCATTATCCTGTGTGAAGCCCTGAGATGTAAAGCATTACTGCCTCCTCCTGTTTCACTCCAGGGGGAAGGTGGGCAGTGGCTGAGACCTTCCTGTGGTCACAGTGGTGGATGCAGGGTTAAACTGATATGTCACTTAGCTGATACTGATCTTTGATTGTGGATTTTAAGGTTGATATCGGCCACTCTCTGTTGTCTGACTTTATTATGGGACGCTTTCATAGTTTCTCAATGATATCATTGTTGAGTATTAGATCTTTTCCTTTGAAATACATATATAAAAAGTGAGTTCATCTTATGCTTGTGGTCGAGACTTTTAATGGTAATGTTTGATCACAACCACAGCTCCAGGAGGATGACATATAGAGTGACACAGCGATGGTCCTGAGTAAAGTGGACTGAGTTGTTCTAACCACAGAGGCAGAGTTATAGTGCTTAGTCAACAGATAAAAGTTACTGCTAACATTCACTAAAAATCTTGCTGTTACTGGAAACTGATTAGAGGTATGCTAGTTACTAAAGCCATGATCCAGAGATGCCACAGATATACTTTTAACTAAAATTGATGCACTTTTGATTAATTAACTACAGGTTACTGTCAATAATGAGAACTCTAATATATTGGATTTTTCCACTGCAATATTTCTAGCATTTGGGATATATACATATTTTTTTCCCCAAATGTTTTGGAAAATGGCAAAGATTTCTCATTCTCTGTTGTTTGATTACCATAGTAACCAAACACAAGTATAAAGGCCTCTATGGACCTATGCGGTCTTGATTTGTCTTTACTGTACACACTTGTTTTTTTATTATCTAAGTGCAAATTTTCAGCCATCCCACCTTCAGCTGTCCTGTCGAGTCATCTATTCACAAAGACAGAGTACTATTTGGCCAGTATGCTCCTGTTTGTGCATCATGTGTCACATTCATCCATTCCCACTATCACACATTGATGGCTGATGCTGCTATGTCAAGCACCCATCAGTTGGCCAATCCCATTCACACACCGCTGGGCAGTGGGCACAGCCAGCACGGGCAGTTTGGGGTCAAGTTCCTCTCCCAGGAACAACACGGCATGTGGACAGCAGGACCTGGGATCCATCCCCTGACCTTTTGATTGAAAGATGAGCGACTCTATCACTGAGCCACAGCTGCCCCAACTGACCCTGCCCACCAAGAAATATCACATTAGTAACAGAGCTATCACTAGTGCTGCTCAGTTATGAAATTAATTTAGGGTCAAACACACCATAACCCGAGTTAGACACCTCCTTGAGAGATAAATGTTGCAGACCGCTTGCTTCTCTAGTTTTACCAACTTTAGTAATGACCGCACGGTAGCAATACACAGCGGTCTGAGGAGCCATAAACAAACCTTAACCATAACGCCACTCTATAGCCACAAATAATGCTCAGAACAGCACCTAACTTCATCAACAGTACATATAGGGTCCTAGCCACAGCACTAGCCACCAAACAACTTTCTAACTTTACCTAATTTATTTTGCAAAGAGACTAAACACAACTTACCCACTCTCTCTCAGCAGCTGCTTGTTTGTAGCAAGAAAGCCCAAAGAAGAACATTTATGATCATTTCTTTATCATTTCCTTGAAGTAATAATCATCATAATAATCATTTTGCACTGCAGACGTGGTAGTTCTTCTGCCTTAGCGTCTCAGTCTGATTGCATTTCCATGAAGAAATGTCTAGCAACAGGAATGACAAGTAAAACTCCTTTGAATCCTTTGCCAATACACCCCCCCCCCCCAACATCTCCCACTGCACAGACACTTTCCATTTTAAAGTTTTATTGACAGAAGCACATCAAAAAATAGTAGCCCAATAAGCCATGAAATCAAGATACCTTCCTGTATAGAAAACCACAAATGTTTACAACAGGACAGGACTTGAACACTTTCTGCTATAACTGTTAAATACTTGCATTATGCCACCTACCTAATAACCAATTTTCCTTTAAATCAAATGTCAGATACACACATGTACAACTTGATCAGGACTGCAGCTGCTCTCTTTAATATTACCTGCTGATATTGTACACACTGCTGTGCTGCACCCTCTGCTAAACTAGAAGTCGACATAAAGTCCTACATATCTATCTTTCATCTGAAGAAAACTCAAAATACATTTAAAAAGCACTTCTTAGACATTATGGCAACTTGACTTCGTCCTCAGAGTAGCTCTGGCTGCAGAACACACACTCCATTTTTGTAGATAATCATCGAAGCATAAATTCACTGAGGTCAAGAGTGCTGTTCAATGGTCAGGTGCCCTCCACAACATGGAACTGCAAGCAACTTCAGTTGGTCTGTCAACCTGCTTCAAACATTCAAAAGAGTACTCAAAGAGTTACAGCTATATACCAACACAAAAAGGGTTATAGAGTAGCCTGCAGATTGAGCTGTAAACACAGTTGAGTAATTACCTGCTGGCTTAAAAACTTCGCCCATTTTTTTGTATGAATATATTTATGTCTTAAAATATAGTACAAGACAGACTCTCTACAATATAAAGTAATTACACAATTTTTTCTTGCATAAAAGCTGTGAGAAAAAGCATCTGCATAATTTATAAAACCCTAAACAAATCTGCACAATAAGGTAAACAAACCTTTACGATACACCACCAAAGTTTGATGATGACAATCATAAATTTGGACTCTGCAAGCATTTTTTAGAGCGACTGAAATAGTTGCTATAAAAACAGTTCCCATGTGTTCCTAGAAGAAACATAAATAATCTCAACATTGACTGTGAAGGAGTGTTTTTTGTTAAACTCTGCTGTCAACATCACAAATAAAAATCCATTTGCTCCTTGTGTGCAGGGGGTCTCTGCGGAGATCCAGCAATAGATATCTGGAAACCTGGCAAAATATCAAGTTGTGCAATATCTGTAAGGTTAGATCTCGCTGACCCTCACAGCGTGGGTTCCTCTCTGTGTGTGTGTGTGTGTGTGTGTGTGTTCAGCAGCAGATGCCAGCAGAGCACAGTGGGATCATACTTCTCCACCTCTCCTCTCTGTGACCTGTTTTTTTCTGGTCCACAGCTCGGCCATCAGCTGCTCCAGCATCAGCCACTCATCACAGGTCAGCATGGTTCAACTGATGTGGCAGTCTGAAATATGATCATATTGGGCTGGAGGACGACAGTGTAGGACTTCACGCTGCCTGCAGTGCAGTTCCCCAAATTTTATTTTCATGCTGTTTGTCTGCGCGAAATGTTCCCCCTGTATTGTGTGGCAGTTTCCCACAGATTACATTTTTATGTTCGGATTAATTTCATTTACTATTTCTGACAAATACCTAGTGGTGACTACAGTAAGGATGAAGCATGCTGTGATACTCCAGCACCATTGAAGCCCACCTGGTCACATAACCAATAGCTGATGAGACAATCAAGCCACAGCCTTGATTAGCTGAGGCAGACCCCTGTGCTAGGAGCACAATAGCTGCGCTGAGGGCTGTTGTATCGAGCCCACACAGGAGGGTGTCTTAGCTGCTTTCCTTCATTACAGAGTTTGTGTTGACTTATTTTTGTAAGTCTAGTTTCCAAAAAATCTGCCTTTATGTGCAGACAGCCACATGCTAGAGGGCCTCCCGGTGTTACGGCCCAGCCAGCAAACACCTGCAGGCGCTGTATGAGAGTATTAATCAGGGTTGTGTTGCCGAATAACTAAATTCCCAGACCATTTCTTCTGGCTAAAATAGAGTTCATGAAAATATTCAGTAGTGTTTCTGATCAATTCATGTCCAAACCTCTATATTTGAGTCCAAAGATTTTTAATTCCTAGTTCTGTATTATGGACCGCTCACACCAAGCACGAGTAAAACCAACTTCTCGCTTAATTCGTGCAAATTTAGATTGTGCAAATAGCATTTAGTCGCTTCATTCACGCCTCAACAGTAATTTCAACGCTTATCCCTGCAAATTCAACTGGCAGGATCAAGTGATAGACAAAGGTGATTTATAACTTACCAGGTAATCGGACCTTCTCACTCACTTGCCTCCAGGTAAGCTCCTTTTTATTTCAGTTTCGGTAATTGAAAGAGAAGGTATCATAAAATTCGGGGCACCAACACAGTCAATTTGTCCTCCATTTTAAATCCTAGTGAACAACCGTCCGTTTTCATATGTCACCCGGCAACCTTCGTGGCTGATTGGTTATTGCAAAGGGAATATCCGCTCAAGTTGAGACATTTTCAGCTCCCGCCCAATCCACATCATTAGCGCCGCCTGAGTAGTATGAGCCTCTAACCAGGTCTTTGCATTGACTTAACATATAAATCAGTCGTGTGAATGATTTTACTTGCCCTTGGTGTGTGGGGACAGTTAGAAAGATGCATGGTGGTTGCTAATGTTGGTAAAAGGTAAAATACTCTGGTGAGGTTAGAGTAGCGTTAGGTGGTATACTGTCAAACTGACTAGCATGGTCAGGTTCCAGATAGAGGATGTGTATCATTAAGAAATGTCCCCTATCATCTTTCAGGTCCCTCCGTCCTCAGCATCAATTGCCCCCTTCCCCCCTCCCAGCACTATACATTCTTTAAAAGTCCAGGGTAAACACATGTCAGCAGTAACTCTAGGGTTTCGTTCGCAACACGAGTCTCGGAACTAATTCAGCCAGAAAACTCCTGTTGAAGCTTTAAACCATCGATCCCAGCAGCAGCAGACCATGTCTTGTGTTCTGTGTCTAGGCTGCCAGCCTCATCACTCCACACAGTTTTACATGCAGAAATGGAGAAGTGATGAGACAATATCCTCAACCTCCCAGTTGGAGCCTGCAGGTGGATGCTGGGCTGGTGGGGCTGGAAATTTGAATGCAGCACTAAAGCATGGCAGTGGAGGCAATGGCAAGAAGAAGTACAGAATGTTAATCTTACAGCACAGACAAAACGCCAAATTAGGAGTATGTTCATCACATGGTAGAGTGATGCATGTCAAGTGGGAGATCAGTGCAGAAGGGTTAACTGCCTGAACTTGCTCACAGGCTTTTGTAGTCAAAGCTCATGTTAGCTGTCAAACTCCGTGTTAGGATGTGTTTGAACAAAACTTGTCAGTGAAACCGTACAAACATGTTCAAACTTCACCATGCAAAAAGGGAAACCTATTTACAGACATGTCTAGATATTCTGGCAACTTCTCTGTGCACATGTTGAGAGAATGATCTGATTCATCAGAATTTGAAATTCTTTCTTGAATCTACTGTACGGTCACCACATTGTCTGCACTTAAGCAGTGAGGAAACACCAGGATTGTTCTTCGTTCAGAGTTCAAAGAGAGAGGAAATGTGTTTCTGGCACCAAATTTAAATGAGCTTTTTTTTTCTAAAACACTCACATTTTCTCAGTTTCTATCTTCTGTGTGTACTGATGTGCACAGTGTCCCATGTGGGCGAAGGTCCTCCATTTTGCACAGCATGCACAGTGGCCCATGAGCACTGCTGCATCATCACATTACCTCCCTCTGAATCCACCCAAACCTTTCATCCAAAAATCTGTTCTAAACAGCAGTTATGTAACTGACCTGAAATCTTTGTTTCAGTGACAGACCTCCCACCACAAATATCTCCTGAGCCTCCTACTCTGCTGTGTCAACAGAGGCCTGGTCAGAGGGGCCACTGCCTCCACCTACTGCTTTCTGTGGAGGGGCCAGCAGGCTCTGAGACACTGCAGGAGGTCCAGGACAGAGTGGGTGGCCTCAGAGAGGAGCTGGCACTAAAAAGGGAAGATGGGCAGGTGGGAGATGTAGAGCGGGATACACCAGGACTACACTTATATCTAGTGCTACATGCTGGCTTTCACAGTCTATCTGATCATGAGGAAAAAAAAACTTTATTTTTCTTAACTTATAAATTTTCTGCCGTTTTTTTTAATTCACTAGATTTTAATGAATGCAAATTTGTTCTTTTCTGAAAGAGGAAAATTGGACAATGTCACATCATGCTTTTCCAAATATACCAACTTTTCCATCTCAGCCAAACCAAAAGTTGCAATTATTTTGTTTTCTCAAGCACTCTCACTCTTTGTTGTTCACAAACTGAAACGCTGACAAATACTAAGAGTGTCGAGATTTGCTGATCTGGGTTGGTTAACCATCCATCTGTTAAAACGCAAGTCAGCAGTCAGCAGCGCCCTGGATATGTAAAAATGTAAAATGCACCAGCTGATGGCCTGATTCTAAAGTTTACCGCAGTCTTACTCTGCAGACTCTGCTCACCTTTTTCTGTCACCATGACTCAGACCTTTGCAGTGATTTGTAACATCGCCGAAATGGAGTGATGTTAGACTCCCCATCAGTCAAGCGCACACAAACACATGGAAAAACGGGGTCGTGGTTGAAAAATACTAAAGTCCCCCTTTAATATTAAAGTAGAAAAAAACTAAATATCTATTTGCTTGTGTGACATCAGCCAAATAAATCTCACTTGGTGAAACACTGTGGCAAACTGATGCTGGGAATATCAGCGTTAACAATCAGCAGTATATATTAATCATGTTTTCAGACACAACAAAGCCACAACTTTGCACAGTCTCTGATCAGGGTCCTGAGCTTGAGACATTTCCAGCATTTACAACTTTACCATGTGGCTAAAAGTGATTACGTTCATCACATCATCTATACATCTGAGTAAAACCGTATGCTACCAAGCAGACAGCATCTCACTCAGTACCAGAGATGACCAGAGATGACAGAGAAAGACAGACAGAGAAACCTGAACATCATTTACCATTTAAACGGGGTTTCTAC